ACCTTTAAAAGAAAAGTGTTGCGGAATTTGTTCCCAGTAAAACATGATAAATACGTTATCAAAGCATTTCCGAAGAAATGTATTTTTTATTCATTTTCAAAACTTTGGGATGTCATCGTCAATACAGAAACATAAGCATAAACAGAACTTACATTCATTTACACTAGTTGTAACGCCCGTGTTTCTGAGCTAAGCATTAATGTTGTTGTAATAGTCTAGGTTAACCTTTGTAACTCATTTTGAAATAATAAGAATGTGTTATTTGAGTATTATGTGTTTTATGCTTAATTGGGTGTCTTAATTGAATTAAGAATAAAAATAGGCGTAGAAATAAATTATTAGATAATCTCGATATCTATGAAGAATGTGGTAGTGGTCGTAACGAGGTTTCCGAATATATATAGAATGCTGAAATCTGAGTTATAACGAAGAAGTTATGACCTGTCGAAGTTTCGCGACAGAACCGGCACGACGCTGCGTGACGTAAAATGTGAAATTGCGATAGAGTGACTTTTAGCCTTAGTGATCTTAACGAAAGTCGTAGAATACGTTAAACCGAGAGCGTGCATAAAAAGAATGCCCAAATCTGACTTCGTATGAGGAAGTTATGATTTTTCTAAGTTTCGACTTAGCGGTATGCAGCCCGAAGTTCGAATATGAGATCGAGTGATTTCTAGCCGAAACAATCTTAACGAGAATCGAGGATCTCGTCATTAGTAGTGCAACGGTGAAAAGAAAGACGAAAACGAACGTCGGATGAAGAAGTTATGATTTTATAACGAAGTTTTCCTGTCCCGGCCTACTAAAAATAATATAATAAAAATAAAGTCAAAATTAGCCGACGGAGTCTAAATGAAAGTTGTAGAGCGTAGTCTCACCTACGCGTGGATATAAAGAACGTCGAAAACGGAGTTCGTATGAGGAAGATATGAATTTTGGAAGTTTTATAAATAATTAAAATATATATTTAATTAAGAATTTCGGATAATATCCGAAGGAGTCATTGATCTGATCCGAACTACACCCAGCGTACACCGAAGCGTGACCCGCCTCGCACTCGAGTGCTCCGATGACGCATGCAGTGACGATTTCCGAAGCGTACGCCCCGCGTACTGAGCATTACGCCCAACGTAATGCGAGGCTTCTGCCCCTATATAAAGGATGCGAGGGCAGCCGAGATCTTTTGCTCCATTCTTCATTTCTCTCTCATTTTTACCTCGTTTTTCGTGCCAGAATTATCCCGAAGCCCCGGTATCATTCCCGAGCCCCGAAGCAAGTTCCGAAGCCCCGAAGATCCCGAGAAGTAAAGTTTCCGAGCCGAAACTCTGCCCGCGAGAAGCCCGGTTTTCAAGAAAAACATCCCGGTTTTATCGGAAAAGTTTATTTTAAGAGACGAGGTGCTGTCCGATCATTGTCTTATCAAGTGAGTGTATATTCGTTTTCTTCTAACACATAGATATGAAGTATTCTTTATAAAATACGTGCTTTGTGTTTATATATTATTTGCTTATTTGAACTAGTTGTTGAATGGATGTTTTGTACAGGTTTTAAGCTGTATATAAATGTATATATTTTATCTACTAATATGTTGGGTAGAACATGGTTAGACAGTTGGTGTGTGATGAAATAAAATGATGAGAGGCCTCGATGTCGTTGTTGATCTAGTCATCTAGCGGAGTATGGATGACGACCACGGACTCATTCTAGACAGTCCAGTGGAACACTAGCAGGCTCATAACCTGTAGGTGTTGTGAACGATGTGTTCACCGGTGTACTCTATCCCCCTCATGGTTGCCTTTAGGACATCTATTGCTAAGGAAGCCCCTTTGCAGTAATGTCCGTCCCGATGAAAATCCTAGATTAGGTCCCTTGTAATAGTTGTTGTTTTAGGGACATAAAGTGAGGCTAACGGGAATGGGTAATCGGGTTATTGTTGGTTGGTGAAATTAAATATAATTATTTATTGTGGGTCGAAAACCCTATATGCTCACCAGGATCCCAAGCCTGACCCACTCAGTTTCTTTGTATTACAGGTAGTGGCGCAAGGGCATAAGTTGGATGACATTGTCAAGATATTTTTGGATTATAGATCTGTTGTTATATGTAATTGTGCAAGGCCTATTTTGTATTGTTTATGCTTTTGGTCTGTATCGGAACATGACATCCCGAGATTTTGTTATATAATGAAAAATACATTTCTGTATGAAATGCTTTGATAAATTCTTATCATATTTTGTTTTGGGAACAAATTCCGCAACTCTTTTAATCAAAGGATTACTCTGATTTTATGTAAAAGCATAAATGAAACCGGTCTTTATTTTGAAAATCAGAGTAACCTTTAAAAGAAAAGTGTTGCGGAATTTGTTCCGAGTAAAACATGATAAATACGTTATCAAAGTATTTCCGAAGAAATGTATTTTTTATTCATTTTCAAAACCTTGGGATGTCATCGTCAATACAGAAACATAAGCATAAACAGAACTTACATTCATTTACACTAGTGATCTACATCTCTTTTAAATCTCTCAGTGTAATGTAACTTCATATCGACACCTGTGATAGAAATAAGCTGGAGTGGGACAGGTTGGGAAACCTGGTGAGTACATAGGGATTTCAATCCCACAATGTTATATCATATATATAATTTAGAACTCACAAAATATACAATTTCACCATATATATAATAGTAACTCTTACCCCACCCCGTTAATCCTCACAACGAGACTATCCATACTCTCGGACCTTAAATTTTACCTCTTACTTAATCCATACTCTCGGATCTAATCCATGCTCTCGTATCAATAATAGTGCCCATTCCATACTCTCGGATTAGGGACAAGTGTCTATGTGTAAATCCATTCTCCCGGATTAACGACGAATAACTATGTCATATCCATACTCCCGGACTGAGGACGACTGACTATGTCTTAATCCATACTCCCGGACTAATGACAGTTGGCTATGTCCAATCCATACTCTCGGACTAGGGACAATGACTATGTCTAATCTATGCTCCCGGATCAATGACATATACTAAAGTTCTATTCTCTGAGTATAACTCACTCGTACTCGTAAGAAAATACTACCCAATATTCCCCATAATTAATTTAGGTTTACTCTTTATCCTAAATCATCATATATAATCAGGTATGTTCTTTAACACGTACTTCGGGCAACATCAAATAACTCGCACATAAACATATATTTAATATTTCAATCAATACTTGTATTAAAATCATGTTCATGAAAGAGACTATGCACTCACTTGAAAAGGTGGTGACTCGGTACTCGGACAGTACTTCGTTATCTCAAAACAATTTTCCATTGACAAAACCTAGTATCAATACCACTAGGGTTTAGTCTAACGTTAACCGCGACTAATTAATAGTCTAGCTATTATTATTATTATATAAGCGTTAAACAACACTCTATATAACTCATAATAATAGCCCAAATAATTATTTTAAGGTCCTAATAATGTTATTATAATTAATTACAAGCTATATTAAAAATAGCGTAGGCGTAGCTCAATTACAGCGGGTTTTATAGAAAACCGGGCTTCGTTTGGAGCAGCGTTTCCGAACCGAAAGACCCTTTTTCTCGGGACTCCGGGAGCCTCGGGGTTTCCTTCGGGAGCTAGGGGGTTTACCTAGATTTTAGGGGGGTTAGGATAGTCTAGAGAGAGAGTAGATTTGGTGCATTTTCCTCAGAACATCTCGCACCCTTTTATAGGGCCAGCTTCGGACTTACGCTGGGCGTTCAGCAGGTTACGCGGGGCGTAACTTCGGATAGGGTTGCCAGCTTCGCACCAGCTGGCTCGCAAATCGGATGGGATAAGGACTGAAGTACGCCGGGTGTACCCGGACTCGGACGCGGGGCGTAGCGAGGGCGACGTGTCTTCATCCGAAGGCTATCTGCGATCAGCAATCGACGGCTGGAAATGCGCCACGTTAGCACTTCTATCATCAGCTTCGCAAATTCAAGTGCAATCTTTAAAAATTCGTAACTCTCGCGTATGAGCTCTGTTTTTGACGTTCTTTATATCCACGCGTAGGCGGGAACATACTCTACAACTTTCGTTTAGACTTCGTTGGCTAATTTTGACTTTATTTTAAATTTATATTTTTAACATGCCGGAACAGGATTGGTTCGTTAAAAATTCATAACTTCTTCATCCGACGTCCGTTTTCGTCTGTCTTTTCATCGATGCGCTACTATTAACGAGATCTTCGATTCTTGTTTAGGTTGTGTCGGCTAAAAACCGCTCGATCTAATATTCAAACTTCAGGCTGTACACTGCTAAGTTGAAACTTCGAAAAATCATAACTTCCTCATACGAAGTCAGATTTGGGCGTTCTTTTTATGGACGCTCTCGGTTTAACGTATTCTACGACTTTCGTTTAGGTCGCTAAGGCTAAAAGTCGCTCTATCGTAAATTCACTATTTACGCTTCCCGGTGTTGTGCCGGTTCCGTCGCGAAACTTCGACGGGTCATAACTTCTTCGTTATAACTCGAATTTCGGCTTTCTTTATATGTACGGAACCCTTGATACATATTCTACAACTTGGTTAAGATTATTTATTCTAAATAATCTTTTGTCGAAAAGTCGTTTTCGACCCCTATTATTTCTTAATTGACTAGCCCGGATCTACGGGCGTTACAATTTGGATTTGGAGTGTTTTGTTTAAACTGAACGTTAGAAGCTTGTAATGTCAAACAAGACTTTCTGTTCAAAATAAAGCGTTTTGTCAAACGCTAAAAGCTAGAAGCTCTCAAACGCTCCGTGTCGAACACGTCATGTGTTTTACTACCACTTAAAATTACATACATTAAATTTAGTCATTTATATATATATATATATATATATATATATATATATATATATAATATATATATATATATATATATATTGAATTTTGAAGGGCCTCATTTTTATTTTGCCGTAGGCCTCAAATCCACTTGAACCAACTTTGTGTTTAATCTAAGAATGGATATTTAGATGGAGGGAAAGGTGGTAGAGGATGCTAGTGAAGGAGTACGTACTTTTGGTAAAAAGGGTACTCCTCGGGTAAGTGTCGAGTTCCGTGATATGAACACCGGGGTAGTAAAAAAAAGACTCAACATGGTCAACATGAGGCTGATATGGTATGTCATCCATGAAAACATACTGCTAAATTGATACTTTTTTCTTCTTTTTTGTGTTCATCAATATCGTTTAATGTGGTTTAGTTACTGTTATTTATAAGTACTTTTTGTTTCTTCTTTCTCCCCGCAAATGTTGCCATACCTCTTCACACACCCATGAATATGACGGTTTTCAACAAACTTCTACTTGGAAAAGTTCGTATCAAATCGTATGATTTGTTCAACTCTAGTGATTCAAATCATGAATCTATATCTCCTTCACATAGTGAGTTTTTCATCTCTCTAACTATAGATATGCAAATGAGTTAAAGGTTACACGCAATTACAAATGTTAATTTCAATATTGTGTAGTGAAATTGGCGAGTTTAAAAGTAAATGGCGTATTTTCTGCTCAATGTGACACTTCTGTATTGTATCCAACTTGTGAAGGTAATATACATGCTTTCAGAGTTAGAAAGGGAGAGGGAGGGTTATTAGTGGTTAGAGGTGCGAAAAGAATCAGAAATGGAGGTGATTGAATGTATGGGTTCTACTAAAAGAAAAGGGAGAAGGAATGAAAGAGGTTTTATTATTAATAGTAAACCCTTTAAAAACAATGTTGTTTGAGATGGAATTCTTTAAAGAAGCATTAAAGAACAAAACATGATAACGGTTGAGAATGACACATATTGTCTGTCCTAACATTAGGTGAGACTACAAGTAAGATTCCGGAGGGAGAGATGTTGAAATCCTGTGAAGTAGTTTTTACATTGGATGCATGAAATCCGGTGAAGTAGTTTCTGATTTGGAATTTTTTCTGGAATCTACCTAATTGTAGCATTGTACTTTCATTTTTTTATTAGCTAATTGTACTTTGAAAAATATACTCAGTGTGAATGACATTTGTTATAACACTACCAAAAAATAAAAAACTAAAAGAAACTGACCCGGGGCGAATAGACTTTTTTACCAGTTTTTATTATGAGAATGAAAAAGAAATTAACTAGATTTTAGGAAATTAAGTGAATCCAATAATAATTTTATTCTTTTTTTCATAAAAGATCAAACCATTTACACATACAAATTAATCAAAAGGTCAAAGGTCAAACCACTGGTTATTAAAATAGTTTTGAAAATTTAACATTCTTTAACATGATACTATTGTTGAGCTGTTTGAACTGTTGAAAGAAGAAATTAATAACAATTAAGGCTAAAAATCAAAATCTACCATCGATGAGGGTAAAACGTAAAAGGAGAAAAAAAATTATAAGGTTGTTGGTCATTTACGGTTCACAACACAGTACACGAATGTGGATATTCTCGATTTACTGTTGGGTAAGATGATTGGGTCAACCAATAAATGGGTAAAGATAGTACATAATCGGATTAAAATTTGGCAATTTTCATGGAGATGTAAGATTTGCATAGGTATGATCGTAGGATCTTACAATCTTATGATCAAGATCCCGATCTTGACGACTTTGGTTTAAATACTTAACAATTATAAAATCGATAGTTGTTTTTATAGCAACATACTTTCTTACTTTAATCTTTTATAATAGCGTACACTTTTATTTTATAATAATGTACTTCATTTTTTTCATTTTTATATCGTTGAGCTTTCATTTTTAGTATCTTTTTTGGTTAACCGGTAACCAAAATTATTAAATGAATAAAACCATTAACCATAACCACCAATACTAGCCGTCACCAATGGCTACATAAACGCATTAACCGATTGTAATGGTTATGGTTCGGTTTTAACCAATAACCGAACCAAACCGCTCATATATACCCAAAAAAAATAGAAAATGAACCAAAAAAAAAAGGAAAAGAGTAAGGGTAATCGTGGTATTTCACTCTTATATGAATCAGGGGAAATACATGTGTGCGTGTTATTGTTGGCGTGAGAATTGAGAAAAGAAACACATAAAGTGATTAAAGTATGTACGAGTGTTCTGGTGTGTGCGTCGATGGCATATCAGAAGGATCGTGATTAACAGAGAGCCACAAGGAGATACCAAACATCGGGACAGTTATGGTTTATGGCTTTTGGTCGATCGATGCTTAGAACAACCTGGAAACTCTCAATGTTACCTAATTGACAAGAAATTGAAGGTAATCTTTTAAACCCTAAGTACACACTAAAGAAATTGTTTGGGATTTTGGGATGCATGATCAAATTGGTGATGGTTTATGGCTTTTGGTGGTAGCAGACTTTGTATGACCAGAAATCAACAGAAGCATCCCGAAACATCCTTATTTCAGATTTGACACAAGCATCGGAAGGTATTCAATCAACCTAAGTTGAAATTAATACTTGGAACACATGAAATTGCTTAGGGTGCTTTGGATTATATTATAAATTTATATGGATTTATGAGTTTTGCTTGGTAATCAACTGAAATTTTGGAAGAACAAAGAATGCAGATTGATGCTTGAAGTTTTGAACAAGTTTGACTTTTTATGGAGTCAAACAATTAGTTTGGAATTGAAATTTTAAGGTTTATGGAGAAATTGATAATGTAATTGTATTCTTAACAAATATTATGCAATAGATGAAGTAATTTGGTTAATTACTAGTTGATTCATAATGCAAATTTGGAATGGAAGATGAAATTAGTAAATAGATTAAAAAGATGAAAGCTTAATTATTGGAATGTAAGTATGAAAGTATTGGTTTCAAAATGCTTGGTAAATGGAACTTGTACATCAAGATAAAGTGCAAAGTAAGATAGTGAAGAGATGGACTGGAATTGTAAATTCCAACATTTAATGAAAAAATATTAGAACTTGGGCAGAGTCAAACTTTTTTTTTTTAAAGCCACTAGAAAGTAACAATAAGGGTAAAATACAAATATTTGTTGAAATGTGTAGCAAAAATGATAACAATACATTTTCAGATCATCAATATTGTTATCATGACTTAACATTATAACAAAAAAGTTTGTTGAAATGTGTAGCAAAAATGGATGACGAGATGGTTACACTGCATAATGTAATGCCGGTGGATCTTGCTATAAAAAGAGAAATGGAATATCGACATAAAATGGAGGCCTTAAAAAACCAGCCACTCAATAACTTAAATCCTTTGCTACCTTCCCAAGTGAGACCTTATGAACCTAATTTTTTTTTTTTTAATTTTTGATCGTTTCACATTTATATACAAAAGCAAATGAGACTGTGTCTAGCTCATGTGGGACATTAACATGTACAAATAAATATACATATAGGTTCATCCCACAAGTCGAACAACATTAAAGAGAAAAGAGCCATCTTCAAGTGGCATAAAACTAAAAAAACAGGCAACCGGGCTTGTTTGCAAGATTTGTGAGATAACATTTTGTACAGTTGGTCAAATGAAGGATCATTCCAATAGTTTGAAGCACAAACACATTGTACAACAGTTGAAGAAAAGGGGACAAAATGTTAGCACTCCATTTTTATGTGAGCTTTGTAACTCATCTTGCTCTAGTGGTATTGTAATGGCAGTTCATCTTAAGGGTACAAAGCATGCTGCTGTTCTTCAGGAGGTTGAGAAAGCTAAAAGGGCTAGACCCAAAGAGGGATTTTCTGCAAGAAGGTATTGAATGTTTGGTGTATTGAACAAGAGTAGACTGCAATGGGATTGTGTTATATATATTTGTTATGATGTTTGGAAGAATGAGGGTGAATGGTATCGAATGTTTGTAACTTATTTATATCGCAATTAAAGAATATGTGAGGAAGATGACTTTGATCTTAATACTGCCTAGTTGAGAAGTAAAATTATATAAAGGAGGTCCAAGGTTTAGGGTTCAAATCCTGTCACACTCAAAATATTACCAGTGTTTCACAATTGAAGTCTCACGTGGGCCTTGAGGTGGGTCGCTATATTATTATATTCTTTTATAAACATGAATGATAAATGACATTTTGCTAAAAATTGGCATGTTTGTCTTTTTGGTAATACCCTTGCAAAGACTAAAATATTGCAATGGTTTTGATTTTTTTTGTTTAGTTGGTAAAATCAACCCGTCCCAAGCTCTTCCCCACCATCTTTAGTAACATCATTTTTTTACACTAAAAAATATATTTCAGTTATATTATTTTTTATAACTTATTTATATTTTTAAAAATACCCCTTCTATTTAGTAGCTTTCTATAAATTCTGTTGCGTTATTTTGTTACAATAACATTAGAAATTACATTTAAACAAATATAATCCAACAAATAATTCATGTATAATAATTCTGAATTAATTTTTATATAATTAAAACAAGCATTTTATTAAATGAGAAAATTACATTTATAACACATTTCAACAATGTTCAAAACAATTTTTACATTTAAATTATACATTTGATGGGTTGGAGATGCCCTAATAAAATATAATTGTAATTATTTTTACTGTTGCTCGGGTTTTTTTTTTTATATAACTTATAATTATAAATATAGGGTCAAAATCAAATGAGGACATAAAAAAAATTAAGAACCTAAAAACGTTTTTCGGAAGAACCTATGACCCACAAAATCATAGAAAAAACTCATGACAAGATATTGTTAAATAAACTCCATGAAGAAACCCCTCTATAATTTCAATTTTCGTGAACTTTTTTAAGATGAAAAAACTCCAAAAAAAAAAAACTCTTGTCGTGGACGCTCTCAGTATAGGTATCCAATTATTTTGTATATTTATATTTTAAATATATTCAGACAAACTAGATAAACTGATCATTTCTTTTTATTGTTTCTATTTGTTTCTATCAACTAAAAACATCCATCTTTTTTACTTAGCTGAAAACTACAAAAATAAATCGCTTTTTTTGGTCGATTTTATAGAGGAGGGCATCTCATCATACTCTTAAGCTAAAAACCTATTGGTATTTAAAGAAAGTAAGATAACCAAAATAAAGCAAATCATATGAATTAACGACATTTTTTAGGGATTGTAAGTTAAGCTTGGGGAGGGATATTGAAATGGTACACCTTGATTCACGCTTAACAATGGTAACGTGACAATAGTAATTGGTTTAAAAGAATTGTAGCTTGGAATGTTAATGTTGAAGTGTAACAGATGAAGGTTTTATAAGATGCTGGTTGGGCTATGGAAAGTATTTGGGGTAAGTTGAAGAGAAATTAAATATCTTCCTACTTTTTTTCATTCTTATATATTTTCTATCTATCTCGGCCGCTTGTGAACCCTCGGTTACTGTTTTATTCAATGTTTGTTCAATTACTCTTTTACCCGCAAAGGCAATGTAGGCATTGGGTTCGGCAATAATGTCATCCCCCAACATACCAAAACTAGCTGTCACCCCACCGGTAGTAGATGTAAGAATTGGTACATAGAATAACTTTTTATTTGATTGATAATCATATAAAGCATAAGATATTTTAGCCATTTGCATCAAGCTCAAACTTCCTTCTTGCATGCGTGCCCCTCCAGAAGCACACACTATAATAAGAGACCTTGACGAAAATCTTCCAATGTCGATCCTAATGCTACAGTTGCTATCGGTTGCTAGCCTATAGTATGTCTGCTTTCACTAAGACCTGGTTGCATGCTAAGGGCGCAACTTACTCCTTCAATAGCAGATTCAATAGCAAAAGAAAAGAAGCAAGGCCCGCTACCACGAAGACTAATCAAACGATAGATGGCACTCGGTTGGTGCGTAGCCTTCATTCTACTACGCTACGAAAAGGTTACGAAATCACTTAGCTCGACGTTAGGAGAGTTAAGGGGGAACGCCATACCTACAAAGAAGAACCATTTTAAAAGGATGACAAGTGTATTAAAATATCATTAATTTTATTTAATATTACATACTAGTTGTGAGACCCATGTATTAAATGGGTAAATTTAAAATAAAATAAAAACTAAATATAAATGTCAAAATATTTAAGAAACTTTGAATTTATAATAAAATAAGAAAAATAATGAATTATTATAATGAAAATGTTTTTTATCTTTTATATTTAAACAAATAATTTAAATTAATAAAAGAAACTAATGAGCTTTAATTTTGGAAATTTTGAAATTAAAAGGTAAGTCCATTAATGTAATTGATATCCATTTATTACTATATTTATTGCAATTATTATATTAATTAAAATATTATGTGGAATTTAATAAAATAGAAAAATTTATAAATAAAATGACATGTGGAAAAAAAATTCAAAAATAACCACAAATGACATTTGACAAATTGAATGAGAGTGTGACAAGTGACAAAGAAAACTTTCATTTATTAGAGATAATGTTACCATTTCATATGGATACGAAGATAAATAGAAAGAAAAGATATGATGATATTAATTTGAGAAATTAAATATCCTATATGTGTCATATTATATTAGTATATTAAAATATCATTAAATTTCATTAAATGAACATTAAATGTTATATATATCACTATTTAATTGTGTAGGAAGATTTGTAGGAAAAAAAATAAAAAAATATTTAATTTCTCTATTAATTTTTCAAGAAGAAACATTATTTTTCCTTCTGCTTTGGATAATCCTTATAACTATTTTTTTTTTAAGAATACAAATATATATAATTCCATAATTCATTCTCAAGAAAATCGGGACATTAGGTTGAATCACATGCGTATATGCTTCACCAATAACATACCAACAACACTAAAGTTAAAAGTTTATTGTCACGAGGATGCTTCATATTTCAGCATTCAACTTCCTTTTCCTTTCTCTCTCTTTCTTTCTTTTTTTTTTTTTCTCAAATATATAGCAATAAGTGCTTAAAACTTTAAATCATTTTAAATTAGAAAGGATATATAATTTAGCTATGACCTTAATTTCCAAACGAATTAACAAAAATAAAGTAAAAATATTTAAAGAATATAAAGAAAGATCTCAATTTCATGTAGCTATTTTTAAAATTAAAATTATTATATTTGGGGTTAACAAATTTTTAAAATATTTGATATACTAATTGAAAAACTAACTGTTAGATTAACCAGTTACTAACCGGTAAAAATATTTAACATAATATGATTTTTATAAATTATTTTTAACTTGTCGAACATAAAAACTTAAAAAAAACTCAAAAATATACTGTATTAGTTTATCAGCCCGTGGTTCATCAAAAATAGATTAAGAATAATAATGTATAGCCTTTGACTATTCCACTTTGTGGCGCCCATGCATTATACTCTTGTACTCTCCGCAACAAACTTTGTACAAGGTTAGAAAAAGGTTTAACACAATATCCAAAATACTCGCACCCATAAAATATATACACCTCAATCCAAGTGATACGAGCCAAAAAAAAACTGAATATAAAAAGGCATAATGTACTTGGTTAGAAATAATGTCTAGCTAAATTACCAAATTGACCTTACGTTAGCAATCTCATCAACCCCAATATATTCTGACAAGAAGGTGCCAAAATCACAAATTCAGAGGCTTTTTAAGAATATGATTACTTTAATCACCGGGCCTTAATTATTATATTCGTTATTATACTGAAAAAATCTTAATTATTATATTCATTATTATACTGAATAAAAGATTTCGAGGTAGGTACCTTTCTAATGTTTCTAATGTGGGTATTTAACAAGGGTGTCGCTAATAAGACACCATTGTACACCCCATTCACATTTTTTAAAAAATCAACTTATAACTAACTATTTATAATCAGTTTTTACGGAAAACAATGTAATTTCAACCAATAAAAATATTTTAAAATTAAATAAGGGTGTCTATATGATAAATTGGGGTGTCTTTTTAGCCAACCCCATTTAACAAACGTCAATTGCCGTTCTAAAAAAAACGTCAATTTGTCCATATAAAACCACACGGCATAACATGGTTTAGAATTTTTAGAATACAGTTATGATTTTCGAAAATTTCAAACTGTATATATGTTTGACTTTAAATTGCACCGCATCAAACTATAAGGGTGCTGCTAATAAGACACCCCTTAGACATTCTCTCATCATTTTTATAAAAAGTCAACCTATAATAAACTACTTGTAATCAGTTTTTTCGGAAAACAATACAATTTCAACCAATAAAAATATTTCAAAATTAATTAGGGCTGTCTAAATGGTAAAAAGGGGTGTCTTTTTAGCCAACCTCAACTACAAACACCCCTAACTCTATCTATGTGTAGGTTATGTAAAATCACTTTCATGGGGAAAAACAATTTAAAAACGAAAAATGAGTTGAGAATTTTCACACATCCACTAATAAAGGATTTTACTTAAAAAAATGAACTTTTTATAAATAATAAATAGTTTATTTGAAAGAATTATAATAAAATTTATAATCTTGTTTCAACGCTAGTTATAACATATAGCTTCTAAAGAACTAGTTTATAAACAACTTTTGATTTTTGATTTGTAAACATAACAATTTAGAATAAAATATAAGCTAAACGTGGCAGGATAACCTAAAGAAAAAAAAAAGAAAGATAACCAAACTAATGATGAAGAGAATTATTGTTCTTATTGTACAAAATAGAAATAATTGTAACAGAAGTATTGTTGTTGAAAGTTATCAGGAAAAGGAGTTATCCCAATTAGAGTGAATCCAAAAGCATAGCAAGATGAACAGCTGCTGCATATGCCAGTGACCTGTGTTTCACATGATTTGCCCATGACAAAAGACTATTATAATTTCCAACAAAAAGTCAAAAAGGAAACAAGATATTACGATAAAGAAAGAGTAACATTTAATTTGATAACCAATCGAATAAAAATATTAAGCTTTAAATAAATATCAAAATATTATGTAATGAAAATAAAATAAAGAATAGTCATTCCTTAAAATGACCACTTT